GCATAAAAAGCGACAATGTTGCAGCTGATAACAATACCTGCTCTTATCATCACAATGAAACGTATTGGCCGTGCAGAATGGCGCTGCGCCGACGTGTGCACGTCCGCCGGCTCTATATATATGTAATCTCACACGTACAGCAGTTCAGCGACGGCGAGATAGGACATTGTTGCGACGCTGACTCCACAAGTGGCCTCACAGCAAAAGTTTTATACAGGGTGTCCCGGAACTCTCTACCAATATTTTTGGGCATTGATCCTGGGTAAGAAACGTACCTAAATATCACACAGCCGCCATTTTGTTTTTTTTTCAGTTATTAATTTTTTTATAAAGAATGGTTAAACATACGAAATGGAAACTTTGCACAAACATTTAGACAAAGCTACACAAAAATTATGACGATTTTTCAAATTCATAAAACAAAATGGCGGCCATTTAAAATTTTTGTAAAATCAATGGTTTTTGAGTTATTTAAGAAAGAATATTTTTAATGGCCGCCATTTTGTTTTATGAATCTGAATAATCGTGATAATTTTTTGGTAGCTTTGTTTAGTTGTCATAAATGTTTGTGCAAAGTTTCCATTTCGTATGTTTAACCATTCTTTAGAAAAAAATTAATAACTGAAAAAAACAAAATGGCGGCTGTGTGAGTAACTAAGGACTTCCGGACAGTTTAAATATGATATTTAGTTATGTTTCTTACCCAGGAGCAATGCCCTAAAATATTGGTAGAGAGTTCCGGGACACCCTGTATAAACCATCTTGTATGAGTTACATTGTGACCTCACACAAACGGCAATTTGGAGGAACATATAATGGCATTTGCTGCGAGACTGGTTTCATTCGTATTTTTTTATGTCACAGAGAAGTAAGTGTCCCAACTTTACACCCTAGAACGCTATCTAGCACGGAATTGTTTCACACATTACTTTAGACTAATCCTCGAGCATAATTAAATAACATCCGTTGGTGATTGGCGGGATTTGAACCCGGGACGTCGGGCTCTAAAGCCCCGCTCTACCACTGGACCACTTCCCACATTGCTTTAAGAAGTCTTTTACAGTTGAATTAAACTAGTTTGTGTACCTTCATATACATGTAAGTTTACACATACTGTAGTTTTTCAGATATACAGTATAAATTGTAATATTGATTTTAGTTTAGAGTTTGTATTATTTATCCTACTTTTAACAGGAGCAAACAAAAAACAAGCTTAATATAGAATAGATTGGTTTACAAAAAATGATTGCCCGATAAAACTGCTACCCTTCTAATGGGGTGGCCTGCATTTCTGTCTAATGCGTTTCATATCGCCACTGTCCTTTTATCTATCACATTGGCGTCAGTAGTTCTGCATTCTTTGGAATATCTCAGGATAACACTTTTTGTCATGATTTTTCGAAACAGTACAGTCTGTGTAATGTGTTTGTTTGATTACAGAATAATTATAAATAGGGATGAACAAGAAAATGTAACATATTTCATCTTTACTTATTTTATTTCGATAAATGATTTTTATGTTTATATTTAGAAGGGTTTTGGTTTATTGTTGATATTACACATTAAAAAAAATTATTGTTAAAAACCCACATCCCACAAGAAGGGTTGAAAAAAGAGTTTTAGATTTAACTACTTAAAAAATAACAATGAATTACAGTTACGTTCACGATCATAATAGCATAGATAAAAGGAGTCTATGATAATAGACACTAGATTAAGATAAATGAACTAAAACCATATCATTCGATTATACATTTTATGATTATCTTGTCAATCGTTTTGTTTGTTGATGCAATAATTCAATTATTCTCTTGATTATTATCGCGGAACAAACGGTTTTCATCTAGTTATAAACAATAACTCTACAAACACTATCTTCATTATGTAACTAGGTCATTGATGCAGAGAAAGAAACCATAGATATTTTATTTCAATCACACAAATAATACGGTAATGGTTAAAAACTACTTTATAATGAATTAATCCTATTCTCTACTTGATCTGCCAAAATGCATCTACATACAATCGTATATATTTTTCGTTGTTTCCCAAAACGTTCTACCCTATCTAAATATTCCCACGCAGTACTTTCCCCTTTTAAATCAACTTATCTTGCACATACTGTCACAGCTATTAAATACGTATCGTGTTTTCGCCTCGTATAACCGCCAAAGCTATCTGACTATCTACGTGTATTTCCTGTGTTTGGATGCGGGTAGTTACTTACTACTTGCAGCTATCTGCGGTAAATTGATTAAGGCACTTCTCGGCCGATAAGAGGCACGCCTCACCGGTTTACGATCATTACTCCAGCCGCAAACAGGCGTTACTTAGCGTTATTAGTAAGTAATTAAAATTACTTTTGTCGAGTCGTTAACAATTTTAATGTGTGCGCTAAATGAAGGCGAACAGTTGAGGGTGCGGTTTTTTTACTTTGGTGTGTAAAAATATGCGGTAAAGGTAAAAGCTTGGTCTTATTTCGGTAGAGGGGTCCTTAAAGTGTTCTCTGATTATTTTCATAAGCTGTTTAATTTTATTTGGCAGTCCACTATATGCTTAAAGTGTTTTTCCTACAACAAGTCATATACCTATTTCGTTGTTATAATTAAAACTCATACTTGATCCAGCTGTACACTATGCTAATTCAGCACCAATAATTCTTATCAATAATCTTTGAGCATTGAAGTCCTACTCCTCTTTTGACGTCCGATCAAATAGCTTAGTAGTATACGTAATCGATAGTTGCTTTCATGTAGATAACTTCTTGATCAGCATTGTACGTGTTATGACATTGAATGTCATTCGCCTATTGGGTCTGATCACTGGTCTGATGATGATTGGAGTGTCCAATCGAAATCAATCACCACTTACCATCTTTTGTATATTTACCGTTTTGTGAGTAACAGTATAAGCGTAAATATATGTATTAAGTGTTATAAGACGTATCTTTATTTACTTTCCGTTCATGTAGATCTCTATGCTTACAAAACCACTGAAATACTACCCCTAATTTGCTGTCTGAAAAATGCACATAATTTTTATCTGCAGTTCAGTTAATTTATATAGTGTTTATTTAACAATTATGTCCTTCCTCTCTTTTGCTATTTTATTAAATTACATTATTTTATTTCCTATTTTTCTGTCTTCACACTGTGTTTCTTGGACATTGAAGTCTTATTTTTCTTTATATGTCTGATTAAATTGGATTATGTTATATACAAGTATACTGAATCATTGGTTGCCTTTATTTATGGGTTGCCTCTGTGTGTAGAACATATTGAAATAATTTTCAAGCTACTTGAATGTTGCAGTAGCCTATAATAACATTGAACATTAGAGCATCCCTCTTTCGTCCGTCTGATCAAAAACACATAATTTTATCCACCCATAACGTGTAAAAAATGATCACAGAGTGAAACAACGATTTATAATTTACGAACGCACTTAACCTCTCTCCAAGTACAAATCGACGTCAGAAATACCCGACCAGAACTAACAGAGCCCTCCGGTGGTGATGAAAAATGAAAAATATTTCGGAGAAAGTGTCAGCCGATTCGCAGTAAATACTGGGCTACGTGGGTCGTAATAAATGAACAGCAGTAGACAATGGCTATTAAACTGGACCTCATTAATAAGAGCCGCTCACGCCTCACGCCCTGATGTTGTTTTCGATTAGAATCGATTAATTATCGCCTCATCGAGTAATCAATTAGCACGAGCCATCGAGTCGATTAGATTCGATCTTCGATGTAGTCGAGATTGGTCTCGAATGTTGAATGGTTGGATTGTCAGATCGTGATTGATTAAAGCGATGATGTAAAGCTTGTGTTTTTAGTGTTACGTACTTTTCTAGTTACAGTTTTCATCTGTTAATCGCTTGTATAGTGATGAAAGTGGGCTATTGGTAGATTAGTTTTATTAATATTAAATTAGAATGTTGGGGAATGTCTCTGAATTAAGTGTAGGCCCTAAAAATGTGCTACATTCCCTCGTATAACCTTATTTTCTATACAATTTATGCCTTGACACCTTACTCATTCTAATCACTGATGTGGGGAGCGAGCTGGTCTAGTGGTTAGAGCGCTGGACTACGGTTCCTGGGATCCGGGGTGCAAATCCCGCCAAATCACCAATGGATTTTATCTAAGTGATAATGCCGTAACCCCTAGGTATAGCCTGAAGTAATGTGAAAAACAATTCCGGGCTAGTGCTTAGCGTCCTAGGAAAAAAATCACTGATGTAGTACAGTATAATACCTTTCTGTACCAATAACGATATTATAACTTTTATTTATACCCTAAATATAATCCACATATAACATATAATCTAAAGACTATGCGACAAATCTAACATTCAACCAGCAATAAAACCCAATCTTAAAATATAAAAGAGTAGATTGGGAAACATACCTTAAATATGTAATTTCAATGGGCGTTTTCCAGTAGAAGGTTCTTATAACATTCAAAGCTATTTCTTCAATACAATATAACAACAATTGTCTTCTACACTCATTCCAGACTTGGCCTTTGCTGTAATTATCGTTGTCATCACGTAATTGATGTCTTTACCTTTCTCCTCTCCCACCACATTCTTAGTCTTGTCCTTGCTACAATGTTGGTATGAACATGCAGTCGTAATGCAACGTTTATGGCACATCCGTCCATTCATTGAATATCTCAATTATCCTTGATAAAAGGTTTATATGTTTATGGATAACATAAAGCAATTGAATGAAAAAGAAAATCAGTTTCAAAAAAGTTTAAATTTATTATGTATAAATTGTATTCAGTCTCATATTGTAAATCGGTTGGAGAATACCACGCTTTTCTTATATGTAATCGTAAAAACTACAACCCTATGACGATTTTTTAGATTAAAAATATTAACTATAAATGCATGTTTATGCCATTTATTGTTTGAAAAACGAAACAAACACACATGTTTAGTTGGTAGCTTATTCTCAAATAGATTAATATCATGATTTTTTGTTTTTGTTTTAGCTATATGAACTCAGCGAGGACCCAAAGAGAAAAGAATTCCTGGACGACCTATTCAGTTACATGCAGAGGAGAGGTGAGTTTTTTAAAAACCTTTTTCTTGTATTTTTGGTTTCAATTTTTTCGTATAAAGTTGTGACACATTGACAGGCGGCATAAGTGGATCAGCTGTTTAGTGTAATTGCCGTGTTTGCGCATGCGCAGAACCGTGTTTGACTCAATTCGCGTGTTGACCAATCGCTTGCGCCACGACTGCCATTACCCGGGTTAATGCCTGGATAAAACGATTCGCAGTTAGAAAGTTTTTCCATGAAGCCGGCCCGTAAAAGTCGAGCTGGGGGACCAATCAGACAAATTGTAAACCAGGATGTATAAAGGCAATACCTGTAATAGATGAAATTAGATTCTAAATAAAAATTAGATTCAATTAATAATTGGATTAGTTAGATTCAATAAATTGTTCACAGATTTTTATTTTATTTGGGACTGTACAGATTTTAAACCTTAAACTAGACTAGTTTTATTTGTTTCATTACTTTCAAAGGCTTTAGAAATTTAAATGTAAATACTATTGAGGTAACTAATGTTCACTAATTTTATTCATCTGTACATTCAAGGAAACATGCAAGTGCAACTCTTTATAATGTCTATAATGTATTGGGAATGATATGTATTTCGATTACACACAGGGCGACTTATAATATTCATAATGTATAGGTTTGTAGTGTATAATTTTGTTCACAAACACTGAACATTGGGACAACAAGGTTCCGAGGTTAATATAAGGTTTTCAATGTAGAACAAAATACTGGTAGAACAAAGTTATATGTCATTATTTTAATTGAAATTCAAGATAAGACAATAAAAAAAACTTAATGTTCGGGTGGAATGTAAACCTTTTTCTTCGAAACCAATATTTTAAACTTTGTACGATCGTGATATACAGGGTAAACGTGTTTTGCAAAGTATATATAGTTCTATGCTATAGTAATTTCTATTTACAATACATTTCACTGTGTGTGCAAAGATAACGTGTTGTCCCGAGCCATGCAGGTATATTACATGTAATAGTCGTTAAATTCACGGACATTACAATGGAAGCTCCACCGCAGCCATCGTTTGTGGTCTCATGTCCTCTTTAAGAAGAAAAATTAAATTTAACAACTGTCTCGTCGGGTTGTAAATAATATTCAACATTTAACTGTCCAGACTCTGTATTGAGGCTACTTTGTCACTTAGACGAGTAACTTTGTAACGTGAGTTTTTTGTCAACGTTTGATGTTTTGTGTAGTAACTTAGTATGATACAACGTTGAATTTTACCCTGCAGACATAGTGTGAAGAGCAAATATGTTATAAGTACATATTATGGTAACACTAGTTGTGAATTACGTATCAAAATCCAGTCCATCTTTAGAATATGACTTTGTATGACATTGAATGTAGTGTGAGACAGTAAAAAAAAAAATAAACACACTATTAGGTAACAAGCAAGCATAGTTGTAAATAATCAATTGACAAAACTGTTGAAAATCTTTATTTTCTTTGAGCATTAACTTTGGAAGTTGTTAGGCCCACTAAGCCATCTATAAGCATTATATAGTAAAACCTAAAGCCATGTAAAGGTGGACATGTTGAATCTATGGTGCAATGTAATAAGTCAGACAAGTATGCCTGTTATAACTGATCTCCTCAAAATACAAGGCGGTAACGACTTCTTCAACTTGATCCATTATATTGATAAGGAATTATGTACGGTAAACTATGATGCATTTAAAACATTTACAGTTTAAATCCGTTTGTTTCAAATGTCCGACAAGTCCCTTTGTTTAAAACGCCAATGCGAAGTACCCGAACCGCACCATATAAACCCCAAGGTCCCCGGGCCACACTAGCGGCTTTGTATATCGACGTATAAAAATTAAAATCGCCCAAAGACCGGGGCGTTACCGTCCGACACTAATAAAATTTGACGAACTCGGATCCATAAAATGCGTTATGGCCCGTAAATAAGGGCCGTATTTTATTCTTTTTTATGTGGCATTGTTTATTAATTCCGTTATTATAATACTCACTACGGCTTGGGAGGGACCATTGTCTTAGCGCGTAGGATTGCTTCCATTAAATCATCCGATGACAGAGATAATTCATCGCAAATTGGCGATATATCGCAATAACACGATGCGATCCTCGTGCCTGGGTGTTGTGAAGTGAGAATTAACCGGCTTGGATTTATTGACGATTGTCTTTCGCGAATTAGCGTTTCGGTGTTATTTATGCGTTTGGCAGGATTGTCGTGTTGAATGTACGACTGTGTTCTGAATGCAATTGTAATTCTGTGAAAAGGCGAATCGAATGTGTGGATGAAATGTTTCTATGATTAATCGCAATATGTAACAAGACGGCGATTTTATTGTATAGACCATCACGTTGCTTATTTTTAACCAAATAGTTAATGCGGTAAGTAAGTTGACGTGACCTTTATTGTTTGGAGGTTGAAAAGAGTAAAACATTCTTTTCTTAAAGCTACTTATAAAGTTAACTCAAAATTAAAAAAATAATAGACAAGTTTACTAAAAAGGACTTATTTAAAACAATGCCAGGAGTATTAATATATTTTGTGTATTCAAGATCAGAAGGATATTGTAGACACATGTCCCAAATAAACTATCATAGGCTAATTCATATTTATAAATTATTCACTTTTGTGGTCAGCTTAAATTCTAATTGGAGTTTTCCAAGATATTGATACAAAACGCGCTACAGGTTTATCTTCTCTCTACACACAAGTAAACGAAATAACAATTTTGTGAGCTCGTACAGTTTGTGTTCAGTCAGTAGTGTGGTATGAAAGAAAGTAATGCAGCGATGTCGATGGTTCATGCCCAGTTTCCGCGAGAAAGATTAAGTCTGTTTCTAACCATGAGTTTCTGTAAAATCAAAGGAAAAGGTACACATTTCCACTGTAACGAACCGCTTATGTGACTTCTTCGGTCGTCAGCCATAAATAAACTGTTCCCAAAGCAAAGCTCGGCCCCCGGCCACCGGGAGTGACTTGATAACAATTGCAGGACAGCTGTACGACATTAAAACCCACGGCCTTCTATACTAAACAATACCGCCCACCGCATCACACCTTTGTACTACAATGCCAGGAAACTAGTTAATGTTTTAATAGACCACTTACGCATCAGTTGACGCATTGATTAATCCAAGGTGTCGCTCGTGCCAAAACGTTACTACACAACCCAACAACCCAATTTTACAACACTAGACAACATACTGTATGTGTCTTCGGTGCGTTTCGAAGTGCACTCATTTAAATTGTTAAAACTACCTTAATGATGCATAGATCACATGTTTCTTAGCTTATAGTTATATGCTTGTATAGTTTCAAAAATTTAAGTCGTGTTTTAAACATATAAGTTAGCAGGTTTTTATTATTGTCTGAGTTTGATAAAGAACATTTATTATTGGCTTAGCTTTTATTTGATTTACTTATGCAATTTCAAAACATTGAGGTACTTTTTAGAGTGGCATTTGAAGACCTCCCAATGTTCGATTTGTTAAATGATAATAATTGTTTCAAATTTATATTACCTTATCTCAGAGTTGACACTTCACAGGGAAACTCAAAGTCGTATTTAAAAAGCATAACAATTGTCGATTTCTTATATTTTTGTATGCGAACAAGTACAAATGAACCCAGAAATATTAAAAGTTACGTATTAACTTATCTTCTCTTCAAAATCCAACTTCTACTGTAGTGTTTTGATTGTTATAGTAAACTATAAACTTCAAAGCTGAATGCATCGATGTCTGAAGGTTGCTGATCCGATCCCGAGCGGTGGCGACTATTCTGGGCCCAGATCCCATTTTGTCATTGATGTTCCTTAAATATATTTGACAAGTAGGGTGGTAACAAAACTAGAATTTCGACCGTTCCCCTAGAAAACGTTACAACTGTCAAATGCGTTGAACACGGACACCAACCACTGCAAACCTGTCAAATTATTTAAATCCCAACCAATTTCAGTATGCACAACGTTTGAAAGGTACCAAAAAATACTTTCCCCCAATTAACAAGATCTAGTACATCGATAAAAGAAAGATTGCACGCGTCAAATGTGAGGAACCTGTCGACATGTAGCGGAAGGGCAACGTACGATATGCTAACTCCTGATAATAATAGGCTTATTAGCTTTTGCATGGGATTGTAATGACAGGAAGTGGGACAAATGATAAATTCCCGCGTATCACATGGGAATAGGGAAATGACGACGAGACTGCTCGGGCGTGACGGGAACGGTGGGAAACGGAATGATAGCGACAGGAATAACGGACCGGGACATTGGAAATGGAAGTCGGGAATTGGCGAAGAAATTCAAATCTTATCTTACAACACTCTAGGGTTGTGATATGGTGAACACGTTGGTTTATCGGTGTTAAATTGTAGTAGCTGTTACTAAAGCTCACGTATTCGTCTAGTCAGAGAATGTAATTAACAGAGTCGTTTGTTGTTTGGATTTCGTAGGTACTTAGTACGAATATTCCCTCTTTATTCCGGTCTGGATCATTCTTCATAAAACACGCAAAAGATGCCAATGGCGGGAATTAACACCAAAACTTGTTTTAAATACAACAATAATGATAATGCTAATGTAATTTTTCCTTGATATTAAGAAAGCATGTAATGAGCACTAGAAAAGGTGTCGAATAGGAAAATTCATAAATGTAGGACTAAACTAGATCACTTGGTTATGATATAGGGTTGTTCATATACACTAGATATTGTTCTTGTGTTGTCTCTACTGAAACTTTATATAGCGACTCATTTATTTTTCAATTCTACTATTTATTTAATCAATTATACGAGTATTATTTGTAGGCCTATTTATGATAACGGAGTGCAGTGTACAGAGCATTCAGACAAAAATGACCAAACGTACACGTGTACATGTTCAAATTACATCAAATGTACACAACACTCATTTGCTATACGTTTTATCTAAGGGAGTATGTTTTATCTGTGGTTTTATGTACACTGTCTAGTGTACATGTACACAGATATGTTCTA